TGGTCCGCGCTCCACGTGACCTGCGCTTGGGCCGCCTGCGTGCGCAGGCGCAGCCGGCTCCCGAAGGGGGGCGGTGGGAGCGGGAGGCTGGCGCCTTTACCTCTGGTGAGCTGCTTTCTTCGCAGGGTCGCACTCCCACCGCCGCCTCTGGACGCACAGCCCGCTCTCTGGTCTTTGGTCCCTTCCGTCTGCTTGTCTCCTCCCCACAGTGAGTCCCGAAGAGGAAGGATCTGTACACACGCTTCAGAATGCACGCGGGACTGACTCCATGTGAGCCAAGCTTGCATGGCTGAGTAGACACCCGACAAAACACGGATTAAAGAATTTAACTGTACTTAAATAACATTTCAGAATAAAATAAGACAGCCTTAATGCAGACTATAATTATGTTCATCCAGCTGCGGCAGCTCAGACTGTTCACCCTTACCCTCTCCCTTGTCACCCACAGCAGGTGGGAAGTCATGGAATCCGATGGAGTCCACCTCGCATTTAGTCAGCGTTGGGAAGACTGTCCGCCCAAGGTCCTGCCACCAACTCCATGCCAACAAGAGTCTCCAGTTTAGGGTGAGGTGACTTTATTGATTGAGGCAGCCCAGCTCCAGCCTGGTAATAGCAGTCCTGCCGCGGAAATTGAACGTGCCCTGCTATGTTGAGACAGAGGTGTAAGAAGGCTTAGGAAAAGAGTGCCCGCCCGGTCCCTGAATAGACTATTTCTATATAAAAATGGGACCTGCCTGGCCAGCGTGGCTCAGTGGTTGAGAGTCGACCCAGGAACCAGGAGGTCATGGTTCAATTCCCCGTCACCTGTAGGGTTGTGGGCTCGATCCCCTGTAAGGAACGTGCAGGAGGCAGCCGATTGATGTTTCTCTCTCTCCCTCTCTTTTTCTCTCTCTGAAATCAATAAAAACATTTTTTAGAAAAGGGGGGTCATGACTGGTCAGAATGGAGTCACCCTGATTGGTCTGAGGAGATGCAGACCAATTTAGCTCCTATTGGATGGGGAAAGTCTCAGTCCTATTAGTCCAGTTTGATCTCAGTAGCTCTCTTATAAGGGTCCACTCAACACACAGGAGGACTGTGTAGGGGGCTTGGCAGCCCAGTCTGTGGCTTTTGGTGGCAGGGAGTTAGAAAAGGCGTCTTTTAGGAAACACTGGTGCTAGGTCTGGCAGGTTGAGTAGGAATCTTCTAGGGGGGAAGGGAAAATAAAGTTTTGAGCCCCTTCTATGGATCACACACCTTACACAGAGTATTTACTATACTCACACAGAAATTTATCAGACGGGTTTTTATTATTCCATTTTTTATGGAGTTTTAAAAAAATTAAGTCACTTATTCCAAGTTATATAGCAGGTGAGGTATGGAAACTGAAGATCCAAACTTGACGTGCCTGCGTTCTTTCATGGCACCATACTACCTCCCAGCACGGCAGAAGGGCATATGACCAATAACTGCTGTCCGATGTCATCTATATAAAGTTCAAGAAGAGACAAAACTTCTTGTCTTGTACTGGTAAAAGTTTTCCTAGGTACTTCCTAAGCTGGCTATTCCTTCCGTGCAATCATCTTTTGCTTTTCTACCCGCCTGCGTGCGAAGCTGACCTTTATCGAACATTTTGCCGTACGTGCCAACAACTACTTGTCTAAACGCATTACATTATTCAATTCAATCTTCACGACAACTCTTTAAGGTGGTCTTATTACTATGCCCCTTTTATAAGCGAGCAAACAGGTTTTCTGGGGCCAAGTATCTTGGCAAAGCTCAAAGAACTGTCACGAAATTGAGCATCGGATACAAGTGTCTCGCTTGAGTACCTGCGTTTGTTCATCCTGCTCTGGTGAAATAAATCAATAGAGATACATTGAAGAGTGGGAAATGGACAGTGTCGGTTGGTTCTCCAGGGCAGATTTTCCCACCTGCTATATTTTGTTCACCAAAATTTCCTGCTTTTCTCACGGAGGGAAACCCAGACAGACGCGCGGAGTGGGCGGGAGTTTCTCGCGGGAGCCCGGCTCCTCACCGCCTCACTGCGCGGGCCAATCAGAGGCGCGGCCTGGCGCCCCGCCCCCTCCGCAGAGGTTATATAAGTTTAGCCCCAGCGCGCTACACTGCGCAGTCGTGGCTGGGGCCTGAGCTCGCCGAACTCGTAGGAGGGCGCTCCCGCCCCCCGCGCTGCGTGCCCCACGTACGCCGCGCCGCAGAGCGCCGC